GAGCTGGATGGGAAGCAGGGCCACCAGAACATGAAACGGCACCCATTGGGTTCCTAGTGTGTTGAAGGTGAGGATTTTGGCCCCTAGGTTACCGCGCCAGGCCCCCTGTGATTTTTTTTTTTTATAAAGCCCAGTAACACAGTGAATGCGGTGTGTAACAGAGTTAATTTGGTCCATTTCCTGTGAAATTTTTTAACTGTCATTTTAAGCAGGTATTTCCCTTCGTACCTTTGTATGAATTCTTTGGGATTCATTCCTGAAGGTCATTTTGCCCCAAACAGGACAAACACGCAGAACAGAACAGTTCTCCTTTCTTAGCAGCTGCACCTGCAGGGCGGGTCTACATTTTCTAGTAGCCACCATAGCAAGGCAGCAGGGGAGTTCATTTCACTAACATTTTTTATGTAACCCAATGTCAAGATAGAAGCCAACACAGAGAAACTGTCGTCACACCTACGCTCTGTGTCACACTAAGTCCTCGCAGGGCAGGGGTGACCTCGGCACCTGCCCAAGGATGAGGTGCCGAGTGAGACTGGTGACTTGTGAGCACAGATGTGTCCTCTTTTGTGACCATTTTAAATGTGGAACGACATGTCACCCCTCTCACCCGTCCCTCCTCTCCCCAGAAGGTTAGTCTCGTTAAACTAAAGCAGCCACGTCGAAGGCGTGCATTTCGCTCCGGTTGAAATCTAAAGCCAGAAATAAGGATGTTTGAGCTGCCAGGAACCGGAGCTTCTCTCTGTCCACTGTCCCCATGGTGACTGTGACGTCATGGGTCCACAGACGAAGTCTCAGAGGTGAGCAGCGAGGAAACTGGAGGTGCTTCTGTCTGGGAGCCCCCCCAGGTGAGGGTGGGGACACGATAGGGCTCCTGCTATGGTGTCACATGGTCCCTGTGGGCACAGGGAGGTGAAGAGGAAGCTGAATTAAGCCAGTGCCCTCCCCCCGCCTGGCCCAGCACCAGGACTGTTTGGAAAGCCACTTCCTGAGGCCTCAGAAATTGCTTTCCTCCACGTTACTATGGCCCAAGAGTGTCACCTAACCTGTAGCCCTTGTCCCTGGGACTTTGGCTTCTAAGGACCTAGGCCCAGGGGTTGTTTGGCTAAGCCTCTGTTGTTATTGAGTCAGACTGGATGGGGTGTGCGTGTGTGCACTGGAGTGTGTATGTTCACTGGGGATGTAAGCAGCTGGAAACATTTCATGTGGCGAGCCTGATCTATAGCGATGTGTGCTTCTAGCTCTGGGACCTTGGCCAGCATGTGGCAGACGTACGTGTAACCTAGTGAATGTTGTAGCCATGAGTGTACCTACAACTTTGTTTTCTAACTTTTTCTGTCTTGGAGAGACAGCTCCCATCTGATGATTCACGGCTATAGGCGCCTGCAACCTCCAGTGCTGGGCCAGGCTGACACCCGGAAGCAGCAGCTCAGCCCTGCTCTCCCACGTAGGTGGCAGAGGCCCAGCCACACCTGCTGCCTCCCAGGTTGAGCTTGTAGGTAGGAAGCTGGAATAGCAAGCAGAGCCAGTATTCAAACCCAGGTGCTCCAGTGTGGAATGGGATGTCCCGCCCCTGGGACTACTCAGCAGGTTTTTGTTTAAAACAATTATCTTAGGGCCTGGTGGTGTAGCTTAGTGGGTAAAGACCTCGGTCTGAACGTGCCAGCATCCCATATGGGCGCTGGTTCTAATCCCAGCAGCTCCACTTCCTGTCTAGCTCCCTGCTTGTGGCCTGGGAAAGCAGTCAAGGACGGCCCAAAGCCTTGGGACCCTACGCCCACATGGGAGACTTGGAAGAAGCTTCTGGCTCTTGGCTTCGGATTGGCTCAGCTCTGGCAACTGTGGCCGTATAGGGAGTGAACCAGCTGATGGAAAATCTCTCTCTCCTCCTCTCTGTATATCTGATCTGCCTTTCCAATAAAAATAAATCTTAAGAAAATCAAAGGTGAATATATTTATGTAGTCATCTCTTTGGTATCTGTTGGATCCTTCCTCTTGGAATAAGTTTCCAGCACATAGGATTCCTTAAAGTCTTGAGCAAACTTTTTATGGTGACAGCACCCCAATACAGGGCTTTCTGAGAACACAACTGTGTGGCCTATACCTGCATCAGAAACAGAACATACTTAATTCCCAGAAGACCTCCCTCAAGTCCCTTCAAAGTATGAATACCCTCTCTTAAAAAAATGTGTTTACGGCCCAGTGAGGTAGCCGCTGAAGTCTTCACCTTACATGTGCTAGGATCCTATATGGGCGCCGGTTCTTGTCCCTGCTTCCCATCCAGCTCCCTGCTTGTGGCCTGGGAAATCAGTTGAGGATAGCCCAAAGCCTTGGTGTGTGAATCATCAGATGGAAGAGTTTCCTCTCTGTCTGTCCTCTCCGTATATCTGACTTTCCAATAAAAATACATTTTTTTTTAATCAATGTGTTTGAACAGCAGAGACGGAGGGATGTGCATACACTCTCTCTCTTCTCTCTCCTCTCTCTCCTCTCTCTCCTCTCTCTCCTCTCTCTTCTCTCTCTCCTCCACCCACCTGAATGCCTGTGACTGTTGGTGCTAGAGGGTCAGGCTCAAGCCATGAGCCCCAAACTCCATCAGGGTCTCCCACATGGACACGGGATCCCAAGGCTTTGGGCCGTCCTCTGCTGCCTTCTCAGGCCACAAGCAGGGAGCTGGATGGGAAGTGGAGCAGCCGGGATACGAACTGGCTCCCATACGGGATGTGCTTGGGGATGGAGGATCAGCCAGCTGATGAGCCAGGCCTCGTCCTCTCTTGAGAGCAGCCACTCCCCTGGCTTCACACCCTGTGCCTGACTTGTCCTTATTTTTGAATTTTATATGTCAACAGCACCTCTGACTGCTTGAGTTCATTTTCATGTGCCTATCTTTCAAAAATATTTCTCAGAAACTCAGTGTATTAGACAGGCAGAGTAACGGCAGGAAATCTTCCGCTTGTGGGTTCCCTCCCCAGCTGCCTGCAGCTGGGATCCAGGAACTCCTTTAAGGTCTCCTATGTGGGTGAAAGGAGCCGTGTCCACTGGAGTCGCCAGTGCTGCCTCCCGGAACGCCCACTGGCAAGAAGCCGGGATGTAGGACCCCAGGGTCCAGGCACCTGCCTCACGGAGTCCCTTCGTGTTGCTGCATGCCAGCCCACTCTCCAGTCTCCCCATGCCTTAGTGCTGGTTTGTAGCTGCTGGAGCCTGGGGGACTTTGCGACTGGGATCTGGAATTAGCACTACTGTGAACATCCTGGGTGGGCAGCAGGTCCAGTTGCTGCACCATCAGGTCAACCCACCTCCTTGTTTGGTGACCCAAAGGGCCATGTCTCCCTTCAGAAAAGTGGACACACAGCCTGTGTGTGTGTGCTTGCATCTGTAGCATGGCAACAGCCCCTGCCCAGCCAGGCATTGCAAGGTGCCGATGAGCTCATGCATGGCCCGTGCCCGTGGCAGATGGCAGTCCTCTGTCTGGGCTGGGAGCCCTTGTGTGCATTTCCCAGCACATGGCAGCTGCTGGAGAGCGCTGAGTGGTAGGTTCTTCAAGCAACCTCAGCTCTCGTCTCAGGCTGAAAATCAACAATTAAAAAAAAAAAAAAACCTGCAAACCTTGAAACAACAGGAGCTGAGGTGACCAGTTGGACCCAGAAATGAACTGCTTCTATCAGGAGAAGAGAGGTGGCACTTTGTGGAGCCGACATCAGGGGCTGTGGCAGAGATGGCAGTGCCCCAGCCCAGCCGCTGCTGGGAAAGTTTGGCCTGAGCCAACTCTAGTTCCCCAGGGGCCAGCCCTGAACACCCAGAGGCCAGGCAGTCCTGGTCAGGGAAGGGCTTGGCAATCAAGTCCCACCTCTACTTGGTGATGAGGGAGGGGAGTAAAATGTACTGCATCACCTCCCTGAACTCTCTTACCTGGAATGTGCCCTGGTCTTGTGCTTGGGAACCCTGGGCACTTGCGGGGGACCCGTTGGGTATCTACCGTGTGACCTCGAACCCTCTGACTGCACCAGATTTGTCTCCCCTGGTAGTTTTGAAGGTGTCATGAGAAAAGCATTCCAGTGGCTGCCTTGGGCATTGTGGGAAATGAGCACAGGTGTGGGGCGTGACCCTCGTCTGGCCTTGGAGTACAAGTAACCGTTTTGGGCACTGCTCCTGGGCTTGGGAGCTCTATGACCAGAAGGAATGAGAATGCGTCACCCACTGCACCCAGCACCACAATTCGGCTCTTCTATTCTCGTTTCAGCACCACATTTCTGACGCAGTTCTCGGCACAGGCCTCCCGGGTCATTGCCAAGGCCACCTGACCCCCTTTTCCCTTTCCTTGCTCATCTGTCTGTTTCGAAGAGTCATGATCTGAAAGGCAGGGTGACAGAAAGGGAGACCCAGAGATCTTCCACCCACTGGTTCACTCTCTGTATATGTGCAACAGCTGGGGCTGGGCCAGGCTGAAACCAGGAGCCAAGCACTCCATCCGGGTCTCCTGCGTGGGTAGCAGGGACCCAAGCATGTGAGCCATCATCTGTTGCCTTGCAGGGCCTGTATTGGCACAAAGCTATACTGGAAGCGTAGGGTAACCAGGACGACAGCCAGGCAGCATCATGAGGGAGGCAGGTGCCCGGAGTGGTGCGTTACTCCACAGTACCACAGCACTTCCCCCGCACCCCCTTTTGAGAATCTGACCAGACTGGGTCGCCTGCTGAGTTTGGAAAAATCCCATCTTCAGGACTGAGAGAGGAGGGCGTTGGACAAGCGGATGGAATGATGCTTGCGTGGGCAGGGAAGGGGCAATGGCTGCGGGAAGGGCTGGCTGAGTCTCGCCTGCCAAGGAGCTGTTGCAACTAGATTGATCATCACAGCCTGTGTTCCCAGGGAGAAGGTGTTCTTCCTCTGTGGGGAGGGTATATATCTTGGTGGGAGACTTCCGAGACTTCCGGAGGTGTGCACACTCCATGGGAACCAGTCATTAATGGTTTTGTCTCTCTCTTTTTCACCCCACCCTGCTCCAGTCTCATCAGAGCAGATTGAGCAATTGCACCGAAGATTTAAGCAACTGAGTGGAGACCAGCCGACCATTCGGTAAGACCTGCCGCTCGGGTCAGTGCTGGGTAGAGCTGGGGCTCTTGGTGGGGATGATGCAGGTGGGAGGATTCCCCTTTGTCCTGGGTGGCCCAGAAGAGTCTTGAGTTACTCCATTTGCTCAAACAAATCTATGGCTGTTGCTTCTAATTCCTTCTAAGCCGTAAAGCCCGATGTTCCCAATGGGAGGGAATCTTTCTGTTAGAGAGCTGTAACCAAAGTGGAGAAGGGAGAGGCAGCTGTGGGAGCTTATTCCACTTCCACCCTTGCTCTGGACTCCTCCCTGCAGTGTGCACCTGCTAGAGGCCAGGACCACACCCACTGTTGGGTATACAAACAGTGGGTTTTGGTATAGCCAAATTCAGGGGCTCAGGTGTTTTCTGGAAGATTCCCTGTCTCTTCAGATTCCACCTCTTGCAGATCCTCCAACCTCAGGCGAGGTGGGCAGGTGGCAACCTAGGGTCTCTGTGAAGAATTGGCATTCTGGGTCGTGTTTCCAACGGTTGTTTTTCTTAGATGCCTGTTTATAACACTGTCTTTCTGTGAGGAGGAGTGCCTGGAACTACATCCTGTCTTAGGTGGCAGCCAGGTTATTTGGAGCTCGTTAGGGAGAGGTCCGTGTAAGGCTGCTGACCATGTGAAGCTGATCCGTGGCAGGCAGGCTTGCAGCTTCAAGCAGACCGGCTTCCAACAGATGCAGAGTCCCAAGGTATATGGTCAGCATCTCCAGGTCGAAGGGTCTGGGCATTTGGAACAGGCCTGCTACAAGCCCAGGAGAGCATCCTATGTCTTGGTGCGTATTTCTCCTGCACCATGCAGACACCCACCTGTGTGAGGACCCATGCCCATCTTAGCAGAGCCGTGTGGTTAGCTCAGTGCCTTGTGTTGCCAAAGCAGTCATTTCAGGCACTCAGCTGCTGAGCCTTGGGGTTCTCACAGCCTCTCATCTTGCTTTAATTACACCCCAGGCAAAATTAAAGACCACCAGGAATTACACCTTTGCTGCTGCGTCCCTGGCCCCACTACTTTCAATGAAATGACACCTGATGGCTCACAGGCTTAGATGAGGCCGCGTGCCCAAGTCGGAGGCAGTTGCCAGGGCCACCAGCTGGAAATGTGAGCTGGTTTTTCACAGAGGTGAGAGGGGAGCGCTCTGGGGTGGTTGCCATAAGTTCAGATCGCACATGCGTGTAATTCTTCAGATGTGAGGGATGTAAAGGCAAAAAAAACCTAGGCAGATTTGCGAGGCAAGCCTGTATGGAAATCCTTCATGCCTTTGTGTGGCTTACTGTTGTGCCTGTGGGCGTGGGAAGGCGCTTCCTACTCCGAGGTTCCCATGCTTTGTCGCTTTGTCCTACTCTGAGGAACCTCTGCTTTGTCGCTGTGTAGCGCTGGAGGATGCACTGGCAAGATGTGCAAATCTCCTGTGGTTCCCTCCCCACACTCCCCTCCCCCAAGTCGAGTGCACGTGCAAATCACCTGGGAGTCTGGCTGCAATGCAAGTTTCGGGGTGGGGCCTGAGAATCTGCATTTAAGCGCAGGTGGCTATTCACCAAGGACAACGCACGGCAGATCCTCCTTGGTGCTCTAGCGCTCTGCGCTGCGCCTCCCCTTCCTCATCCAAGGGTTCCCCACACCGACACATACTCCCCCAGGGCCACCTTCTGCTCGGCGGGGCTCCTGCTTTTTCACAAGCTTCCATGAGCTCAGCAGCCTTCAGGGGCTCCCCGGGAACCTCAGTTCATCTGTATGTTCTTGGGACCCAGGCGGGTTTGCAGGTGCTGGCCTATGAGCCGCCACCCCTGTAATGCCCTGCACGCCTCCAGCTGCCTGCCCCGCTTTCTCCGCACCAGAGACTGTCCAGTCCCACCACCTCCAGCCCAGATCTGTAATGCCACCCACCCACATGCCATCTGCAGTCTCTAGCAGTGCCAGCCAGCCCCTGGGGAGGCAGGAACTGGATCTGTGCTTGGCCCAAGTGCCAAATAAGGAGCTTTTAATACTGAAGATGGTCTCTGAGTAGCTGAGTGAGTAAATGAGGGCCCAGGAGCCAGCAGCAAATGACAGCGCTCCCAGTGCACCATGCCGTACAGCACAGCACTCCTGCGGCCTGTCGCATGTCTCGTCCTTTCCTTTGTGGGTTTATATTTTCCAGCGGAGAGTGGAGCTGGGGCCTGGCACACAGGGACTGTGCACTGGTGTCAGCTGTTACTGTTGATCTTGTTTTGTGGCCTCCATAGAAGGATCCAGAACCCCTTAGGGAGTGGTGCTGTAACCTCCTGCTCTCCCCATTCTAAAGATGGGAGAGTAAGGCTCGGAGAGGCCACCGTGTCCCCGGCCCGGGGTCACCCATCTTACAAGTGGAGGAGCTGGAATTTGAACCTGTCACTGAGATCCTGCTGTGGGTCCGGCCTGGATTTGTGAGTGACCTCAGCTTCCCTGATGGCCATGGACAGGGTGGGGTATTTGTCATTCTCATGCCTGCAGAGCTGTGGGTGTTGGTGTCAGCTACACATAAAGCCGGCCCCACCTGGCCGGCAGGAAGGAGGGGAGGACCACAGCATCTGATCATTTGCAAACAGGCTGTAGGAACTGTTTTGCCTAATCTAGGTCTACCCGTAGCCCCTACCTCTACCCAGGGCCTCTGACAGGGGGTACTGGGCAGCTCTTGTGGTGGTCCCCCTGGGCTTTCTGGCCCATCCTCCTCTGAGCAGCTCTGGGCTGGGTGCCAGTGGCCAGCACCTGCCCAACCTCCACTCTGCTGAGCCCTAGCCGGACTGTCAGCTTTACCCTTCCGGGCACATCTAGGATGCCCTGGGCTGTGCTGCAAGAGCTCATTTTGTTAGCGTTTAGAGGTCGCTCAGGAAAGCTGGCCTGGGAGAGTGTCCTGGACCGTGGTTCAGCCACCAGGAGCCCCAGCTACTCCGGGGCCCTGTGGGGTGGGCGTGAGGTTGCAGCTCCTCCTGCCCCCTCCCTCTGGGAAAGCGAGAACAGGACCCCTCGAGAAGGGTGCACAGAAGTCCCCCGGAAGTGCATTGCATTTGAAAGGCCAAAGAAGGAGTTAGGTTTCTAAACTTGCAGCCTATTGAGAAATCAAACTTTGCTTTGAAGCAGTCCCACAAGGCAGAAAGGCAGAAGCTTCCAGAATCGATGTTTCCTTTCTACCATCTCTCGCTCGCTCGCTCTCTGGTCTTTTCAAAGAGCATCCTGAGGCATCCAGGGCATGGCTCAGCCTGGGGCTGTGGCAGCCTCGCTTCCCAGGCTTGCTTTCAGGTGAATTCCTGATGCGACCCCAGCTCCGTGGGGCTGCACCCCTCCCCTGGTCAGACGTGCCTCATGACACCTGAGTGTGTCCTGACCACCGAGTACCAGGGCCTGTGCCCACCTGGCCAAGTGCCTGCTTAGGTTCCTGTGCATGTTAAGCACCTGCTATGAGCTGATCCCCTGTGACAAGGGAGGCTGTCAGAAGGTCAGGCAACACAGAACATGATAGCTGTCTGTACAGTTCGTTCTTATCGGGTGCGAGTTGTCCATGGCAACTGGGAACTTCCTAAGAGCTCTCTGGCCGGCTCTCAGCCCCCAAAATAGACGCTGTGGGCTGCCTCGGATGGAGGCGGTGGTGGCGGCGGTGAGATGGGCCCTCGGCAGGCTGGCTAGATAAGGCCAGTGACAGCGTATTTTTAGATCCCCCAGGCCATGATGAACACAGCCATGGACATGTATGAGGGAGGGAAGAAGACTCGATGTCCACTGCTCAGAACCACTTCCTGATGGCCTGGGTGGCTGGACAGCGTGCCATCCCTGGATCCCATCTGGGTTCTCAGTGATGCCCCTGTCCTTGCCTTAGCACCTGGCAGCAGCTCACGGCACGCTTATGTGGTCCTAGGTCTGCAGGATCTTCCAGGGCTCCCCTTCACCACCGCCCCCTCTAGACTGAGAAATCAAGTTTGGGGATGTTAAGATGACACAACAGGATGGCTCCCCTACAGAACTTGGTGCCACGGGAACACAGCCATCTGACCTTGAACCTGTCTGCAAGGTGACGGCTCTCCCAGAAGCACCCATGGCAGTGAGGGTGTCAGGCACTGCCAGTGCAGCAGCAGCAGCCCAGCCTGCAGGTGCAGCCCCAGCTAGGACCATGCGGGAGGGAGACCCACATACACAGTGCACACAATCCCACCCACCAGTTCCCTGCCTCAGACCCCACAGTGGCCAAGACTGGGCCAAGGCTACACCGAACTCAATCCCAGTCTCCCCCTGGGTGACAGGAACCTGGTTACTTGAGTCATGGTCACCTGCCACTTCCCGGGTCTGTGTTTGCAGAAGCTGGCATCTCCAGAGGCAGGGATGGAACCCAGACCCTCCCACCTGCACACACAGGCTGCAGGCTCACTGTACTGCCCTGACTTTAGGCAGTGGTGTGGGCTGAGGGCTCTGCTGGCAGGATCTCTCATGCCAGGGGTGTGTCCATGGGAGACAGACCTGGTGCATTTGCTCCCCCCAAGCAGGTTGTACACAGAGCAAGCCCAAGGCCGGTTGTGCTCCCAACATCCGCCAGCATGGGTACCCCTAAGCACTTAGTAAAGTCAGACTGACTCGAAGCACCTGGGAACCTGACTCGAAGCTGGCAGTGGAAAGCCAGCTTCTAGCAGGCTGCTGGGCACTGCCAGTCTGGGGACTGTGTCACTGAGCACTGCCCGAGAAGTCCTGCCTAAGATGGGACTTCCTGCCTTGAACGTACAGCATGGGGCCTCAGCTTCCCCAGCGCGGAAAGCATCCCATTTCTAGGTGGTGAGCGCAGGAGGGTGGGTAGGCAAGAGCCATGTGGCCAGCAAGAGAGAGACACCAGACTTGAAAGCTGAGAGCCAGAGGTGATTCTGAGGTCAGCTGGGGTAGGGCAGGGGTGTGTGCAGCTCTGAGCCCACACTCCATGGTGAAAGCACCGCACTTAAACTGGGCCACCTCAGGGGCTGCCAAAGCCAAAGCCGCATCATGAGTGA